TTGAGCTCATTCAATGCCAAAATACTTTTAAAAATAAACTGGTGAGGGCCCGAGAAGAGGCTCGAGCTCAGGCTATTGAGGATTTCAAACAGTCTAACAAGTTCAAGACCCTTCTTGGTCAGTACGGGGATGGGTCATATCATTATGGTTTACGATGACTCGTTCTTTTCTTCGAACCAAACTCCTCGAGGATTTGAAGCCTGTGGTTGAGGAGTTGTGAACAGTAAATGAACTAGCCAAAGACCTTGAGCTCTCTGCCTCAGAGGTCGATGATGAAGATGGCGGTGATGGAGGGGATAATGCTGGGACCCCTGATTAGGGTGGCGACAACACTCCTGTTGATATTGATTAGGATCGACATCAAACTTTTTCTGTTATCTTATTTGATCAATATTGTACATTTCCCAATCTGGGCTCATGAATTTTTTATTTTTGAATGCAAAGTATGTTGCCCGATCTGGGCTTGATCTTTGAGGGGCTTTTTGTTATCAGTTCATGCATTTTATTTTTACTATGAGATCGTGCGTGGATTTTACGTTCGTGTGTGAACATTCTGACTTTGAATTCGAGTTGTTATAATTGTTAAAAGTTTGATCGTTAGTATAGATCGCATGTCGCAACCAATTAGCTCGAATGTTGGCGTCCATAGCCCGAGTGTGTGTAAAGAGTTCGAGGGTATAGTATTGTTATGTTTGGGATAGTAAGAGTACTAGTGTTGGTATTGATTTTTCAATATGCTACATCGAGGGGGGACCAATGGGTCACTGATGATTTAAAGGAAAAGGTCGAGCTCGCCCCTTGTAATTTAACATCTTTTTTCCTTTGTGGATAAGATCGGGCGTGGTCACATATGGTAAACATATTTCATGCCCCGATCTCGATCTCGAAATTGTTTGTTGGGAGGACAATTTGGGATTGAGTAGGTCGGGCCTGTTATGCTTGACCTGTTGCCATTTGAGGTCGTGTGTTTGGTTCTATTGGTCGAGTGTCAGCTGCATGTGCGGAGCACGGCCTTATGTTATTTTGGTTAAGGTATTAGCTGCATGTGCGGAGCACAGCCTTATGCTAATTTTGTTAATGTATTAGTTGCATGCGCGGAACACGGTCTTATGCTAATTTGGTTAAGGTATTAGCTGAATGCGCAGAGCACGACCTTATGTTAATTTTGTTAATAGGGAAGCAACATCGTAAAGAATTTTTTGTGTATCATTAAAAAGGGCTTAAGGGCGTTGATACCCGAGCTTATTGGAGCATGAGCTGTTAGGGCATTAGAGCCCGAAAAATAAAATAAAGCAAATGTAAAGTGGGCATGCAAGCCTTTAAAGGAAAAATTATAGCTATAGCTAGTTACCTGTAATAAATTTTCAGATTATCGGTGTTCCATGGCCTGGGGAGCGGCTTCTCCGATGTGTCTCTAAGGCTGTAGGCTCCACCTTTTAATTTTCTGATGACCTCGAAGGGGCCTTCTCATGTTGGTCCGAGCTTTCCCGGTTGGTGCCTGGCAACTTCTGCTTTTCTAAGGACAAGATTGCTAACTCTGAACCTTCTCATCTGGACCTTGTTGTTGAAGTGCTTCGCCGTTCTGTTCTAATAACTTGCAGCACTAAGTGAGGTTTGCTCTCTTACCTCTTCAAGTAAGTCAAGGTGCTCAGTAGTTTGTCTCTCCTTATTCATCTCGAGATTCCTTATTGTGGGGAGGCTGACCTCGATTGGGATGGTAGCCTCAAGTCTGAAGGCGAGCATGAAAGGCATCTCACCAGTTGATGTCTTGTGCAAAGTTTTGTGTGTCCAAAGTATAGAAGGCAGTTCAGGCCAGTCTCCTTTGGCATCTTCTATTCTTGTTCGAAGATCTTGCAATATGATCTGATTGGTTACTTCGGCAAGCCCATTAGTTTGTGGGTGTGATATCGAGGTCAAGCGATGATCAATCCCATGGTTAGCGCAGAAGCTCCTGAACTGTGGATTGTCGAATTGCCTTTTGTTGTCTGTGATGAGGACTTTTGGTATTCCAAACCTACATATGACGGACTTCCATATGAATGATCTGAGCTTCGGCTCCGAAATTGTTGCTAGTGGTTCAGCCTCTACCACTTTATGAAATTCGTCACTGCGACAACTACAAACTTTAATTATCCTCTGGCCAAGGGGAATGGCCCAAGAATGTCGACTCTTCATTGTTCGAAAGGAGCTGAGTAATGAATAGAAGTTAGCTTCTCTACAGGAGCATGTATGATGTTGCCAAACTTTTGGCACGTGTCATATTTTTGAACATAATTTGCAGCATCTTTCTTCAAACTTGGGCAGTAGTACCTATACCTTATTAACTTATAGGCAAGAGCTCGGGCTCATTGGTGATTTTCGCAAATGCCTTCATAAACTTCAGTCAAGGCTTGCAAAGACTTGGACGATTTGAGACATCTTAGATGAGGGAGCGTAAAACTTCTGCCAAATAGGACTCCTTCTATTAGGCAATACCTTGCAGCTCTATACCGAATGCTTCTAGCAAGTCGAGGGTCTGTAGGTAGGTTGCCATTACTTATGTAATCAACTATTGGATCCATCCAGAAGGGCTCACGATTGATGTCTATGATACTTGGCTTTTGTGCTATGCTAGGTTCTGTAACTATCTTGACTTGCACGGTTCTATTGAGCCCGTCCACACCCATAAAGACGAGTCTAGATAATGCATCAGTTTTCACGTTATCAGCTCTGGCCAACTTCTGGATTTCACAACTTACAAACTGCCTTTGAAGGTCATGCACTTTTAGACAATATAAGCTCATCTTTTCGTTCTTTCTTTTGAAAGACCCCTCGATTTGCCCAACCATTAGCTGTGAGTTACTGAAAACTTTGACATCCTCCAACTCAAGACTTTTCGCAAGTTCCAGGGCTATGATAACGGCTTCATACTCTGATTCGTTGTTGGTGGCCTCAAATTCAAATCTGAGCGCACATTGTATTTTTGTAGCCTTATCTAGGCTTGTGATGATGACGTCGACCCCCGAGCTTGAGCTATTGGATGTTCTATCTATAAAGATCTCCCATATTTTCAAGGTCATGCTAGGGCTTTTAACCTGTGTTTTCGGGTGCCTCGGAGTGAGCTCTACTATGGAGTTAGCCAAAGCTTGAGCTTTGATTGCAAGTCGTTGTTTGAACTCTATATCAAATTTCTCAAGTTCAATTGTCCATTTCAACAGTTTTCCTGAGATGTTCGGATTCTGGAGTATGTGTCTAAGAGGTTGGTTAGTGAGCACAACAATTGGATGTGACTGAAAGTACGGTCGTAATTTTTTGGTAGCTATTACCAAAGTGAGGACGAGCTGTTCTGCAAGTGTGTATTGTGTCTCTGCATCAAGGAGTACTTTACTTACATGATAGATAGTTTGCTGAACTCTTCCTTTCTCCTTCACCAAGACCCCGCTTATTACATTCTGAGAAATGGCCAAGTATAATAGTAACGTTTCACCGAGTTTGGGTTTGGTAAGGACTGGAGGTGTTGATAACGTCTGCTTAAACTCCTGAAAAGCTAAGTTGCATTTCTCATTCCAGTTAAAGCTTTGATTTTCCCTAAGTAGTTTGAAAAAGGGAAAACAACTGTCAGCTGCCCGAGAAACAAACTTGTTCAGTGCCGCTATGCGACCAGTCAACTTCTGAATGTTCTTTTTGCATTTAGGGGCCTCCATCTTTATCAGGGCTTCGATCTTATTAGGATTTTCCTCTATTCCTCTGTATGTGATCATAAAACCAAAGAACTTTCTAGATGCCATCCCAAACACACACTTTGCAGGGTTGAGCTTCATGTTGTATCTCCGTAACTTGGCAAACACTTCCTTAAGATCAGAGACATGGCCATTCACCTGTTTGCTCTTAACCACCATATTATCCACATATGCTTCGACCATTTTTCCGATTAACTCGACGAAGATCTTGTTTACCAACCTTTGATTCGTTGCTCCAGCATTCTTCAGTCCAAAGGGCATGACCCTGTAACAATAGATGGCTGAGTCTACCATGAATGAGGTCTTTTCTTGATCTTCTTCAACCATGAGTATTTGGTGATACCCCGAAAAGCCATCCAAGAAGCTATACAGCATATGACCCGACGTGCTATCCACAAGATTGTCAATTCAAGGTAGAGGATAACTGTCTTTGGGACATGCTTTATTCAAATATGTAAAGTCAATGCAAACTCGCCACTTCCCATTAGCTTTCTTGATAAGAACAACGTTAGCAAGCCAATTGGGATATTGTAATTCCCAAATGAACTGTGCGTTAACAAGTTTGGCAATCTCCTCCTTTATGACTTCTCATCTTTCTGGTGCAAATTTCCTTTTCCTTTGCTTTATAGGTCTTGCCTCCGGATTTACATTAAGTTTGTGCACCACAACCTGTGGGTTGATTCCAGGCATGTCCTCAACATTCCAAGCGAATATATCGATGTTGCAGGAGAGAGAACTCAGTAATTCAGTCATGACTACTGTATCTAACTCCCGTTCGATTGTCACTTTCTTGCCAGGCTCGAGGTCGACCTCTTCTAATCCATCCACTGGAGCAAGTCTCTCATGGATCTCGTGCTCGAGCTCGAGCTCTGTAACTTGCATGACGTAGCCCTTGATTCTTCGAACACTAGTCACATAACACTGTTGTACCACTGTTTGGCTGCCTCGAACTACCCCGATTCCATTACTTGTAGGAAATTTTATTGCTAAGTGAAAAGTTGAGACAATAGCTCGAATTCTGTTGAGCAATGGTCTTCCCAATATGGCGTTGTAGGCCATTGGAGTACGGACAACTTCAAAGGTGGTGATCTGTGTCACCTGTTTACCTTCTGTCCCCAATGTTAAAGGCAACCCGACGATACCTTCTGGGGTGATGACCCCACCTCCAAATCCTTGGAGGGGTGTTTTGACTGGCTTGAGCTGCTCCGATGAGATCCCCATTTGAACAAAGGCTTCATGAGACAATACAATAGCTACACTTCCATTGTCTATCAGAATTCTCTAGACTTCAAAGTTGGCGATGATGGCCGATATGACTAGAGCATCATCATGAGGGAATGTTATGCCTTCCAAGTCCTCAGTTCCAAAAGTGATGTCCTCTGTACAACCAAGATCTGATCTTGAGATGATTGGAGGCTGCCTGGCATATTGTTTACGCCCGTTGCTAGAATCTCCCCCTGAGGTCATTCCTTCAAAAATGATATTGATAGTACCTGTAGTTGGTTGCTTGTTTCCTCGACCCTCTGAGCCTTTGTCTCCATTCTGATTATTCCTCGGGCGCTTGTCATTGCTAACATAAGAGCCCAAAAATCCCCTTTTTATAAGAGCTTCAATCTTCCGCTTCAAGGCCAAACAGTCTTCCGTTGTATGTCCATGATCTCTATGGAAATCACAGTACTTACTCCTGTCACGAATATCAGAGGAGACCGCAATCTGGGAGGCCACTTCAGTTTCCTTGAATCCTTGATCTCCATCAGAATGTTGGACCTCGAGGTGTTCAAACGGGTAAAGGATGTTGAGGAGGGGTCCTGCCTTGGCTTGACCCGAGGTGTATCTTGTCTCAAACTGGACTCATGCGGCCTTTTCAGATCCAACCTTCCTAATGAAGAAACTTCTCTTTTTGGGGCCATGGTTTCTTCCATATTGATGTACTTCTAAGCTCGTGAGAATAGCTCGGTGACTGACTTCAGTGGGGTCTTAGACAATGACATCTTTCATCATCGCGTTTACTTTATGTTTTCTTTTTGCATTTATGCGGTATTTGGTTTCTCTCTTTAAAATTTGTTTGAATAGAATTAAAAAAATATCCTTTTTGTTTTTCTTTTGAGGGTAGAATGCTGAAGTCATCTCTCGTGTCACCCAGACGTAATCCATTATTTTTAGTCTCTTAATGTCCTCCGTGCACCTGCGGTCGTTGACAATGAAGTTAACAAGATAACTACGGCTAATTTTTATTTTTAGATTTTTACCCATATTATAATTTTAAAATAGATTAATAACGTGGAGGATTTTCAATGTTGTGTAAACAGACCTGGCTTGTGATATTTGCATTAATAAACCTGAAAATTTGCCCCTTTTGTCCATATCCTAAAACTCTTTTAATAAATACACTTCTGAGGTCTGATATTTCACTCATTCTTATCTATAAAGTTTATTGCAATACTTACACATTCCATTTTCTTGGTATAAGCATAATTCGTTCCAAAATGGGAAGCCAAACTCTCAAATTGCTTTGTAAGATTTCCTACTTTAACAACAGGATAGCTACCAAAGACAACAGTCTCTGTATTCTCCTCTTTTTACTAATCGTTTTGTCCTTTTCTCGTTCTGCAAATTCGAAGTCTCTGCTTCATTTGAGAAGGGGTGATTCTATATCTGTCGAAGGCGATGATTTCATCACCTCACCAGATAATACATTTACCTGTGGCTTTTCTGGAATGGGTAGCAACGCTTATTGGTTTGCAATTTGGTTCAGCAATTACTTGAAAGATTAAAGATAATAATAAGATATTTGTTTCTAGATAGAAAATAGAATTTTATCAGACAAATTACTATTTATAGATCAAGACTGTGAATTACTTGTCAAATTCTTTCATCATCGCGTTTACTTTATGCTTTCTTTCTACATTTATACGGTATTTGGTTTCTCTTTTAAATTTGTTTGAATAGAATTAAACAAAATATCCTTTTGGTTTTTCTTTTGAGGATAGAATGCTGAAGTCATCTCTCGTGTCACGCAGACATAATCCATTGATTTTAGTCTCTTAATGTCCTCCGTGCACCTGCGGTCGTTGACAATGAAGTTAACAAGATAACTACGGCTAATTTTTATTTTTAGATTTTTACCCATATTATAATTTTAAAATAGATTAATAACGTGGAGGATTTTCAATGTTGTGTAAACAGACCTGGCTTGTGATATTTGCATTAATAAACCTGGAAATTTGCTCCTTCTGTCCATATCCTGAAACTCTTCTAATAAATACACTCATTCTTATCTATAAAGTTTACTTCAATGATTACACATTCCATTTTCTTGGTATAAGCATAATGCGTTCCAAAATGAGAAGCCAGACTCTCAAATTGCTTTGTAAGATTTCCTTCTTTAACAACAGGATAGCTACCAAAGACAACAGTCTCTGTATTCTCCTCTTTTTACTAATCGTTTTGTCCTTTTCTCGTTCTGCAAATTCGAAGTCTCTGCTTCATTTGAGAAGGGGTGATTCTATATCTGTCGAAGGCGATGATTTCATCACCTCACCAGATAATACATTTACCTGTGGCTTTTCTGGAATGGGAAGCAACGCTTATTGGTTTGCAATTTGGTTCACCAATTCCAAAGACAAAACTGTTGTTTGGACAGCCCACCGGGACATGCCAGTCAACGGCCAGGGCTCAAGAGTATCTCTAAGGGGAGATGGAACCATGGTCTTGACAGATGTTGATGGCAGGATTAAGTGGCAGACAAATACAACCAATACTGATGTTGCTGCGGCTGAGCTTCTAAATACAGGCAACCTCGTTTTGAAGAATCGACAAGGCGATATTCTCTGGGAAAGTTTTGATGTTCCTACTGATACTCTTTTACCTTCTCAATTGTTGACGAAGGACAAAAGATTGATATCATCCTTAAGAAAAGGAAGCTTGGAATCAGGTTATTTCAATTTATATTTTGGTAGTGACAATGTTTTATCGTTGATATCTGATAGCCCCCAAATATCTAGCCTCTACTGGCCAAATCCTGATTCTGACATCTATACAAGTGGTAGAACCAACTACAATGGAAGCAGATTTGCAGTTTTAGATGATATGGGCGTGCTTTTTTCAAGTGATCATTATCAAGCCAGTGCTTCTGATATGGGATCTGGGATAAAAAGAAGGTTAACTATAGATCCTGATGGGAATCTTAGAATCTATAGTTTGATTAATTCAACAGGGCTATGGATGATTACATGGCAAGCAATTTCACAACCTTGTCAAGTTCATGGGGCATGTGGAACTAATGGGATATGTGTTTATGCACCGAAACCCAAGTGTATATGTACTCCTGGGTATACAGCAAATGATCCGAGTGACTGGAATGCTGGTTGTAAGCCTATGTTCAACCAAACCCTCTTGAATTTAGGAGTAAAATTCCTGGAGGTTTCTCAGACTGATTACTTTGGGTCGGATCTGTATTACAAGCCGAATTTTACGCTGGAAGCTTGCTGGAACCTTTGTAGAAGTGATTCCGGTTGCAAGGGATTTACCTACAGGACCTGGGGAAACGGTCATTGCTATGTAAAAAGTGATCTATTTAATGGTTTTACATCTCCAGATTTCCCTGGAAGTGTGTATATTAAACTTCCCAGGAGTCTGCAAGTATCAAAACCATCAATTTTTCATGATTCCAGCACTATGTGTGAATCTCGGGAAGCAGAAATTCTTGTAGGTTCTCCTTCTATGTATAACATCGCCAGGAAAACAGTGAGATGGGGGTATATCTACTCATTTTGCTTGGCCCTTGGAGTAATTGAACTCCTATTTTTTGTATTAGGCTGGTGGTTTCTATTCACAAAACATGGGGTTCCAGCTTCGGTTGAAGCTGGATATCGCATGATATCAAATCAGTTCAGGAGGTTTAACTACGCCGAATTGAAGAAAGCAACCAAAAACTTCAGGGAAGAGCTAGGCCGAGGAGGCTCCGGCGCTGTTTATAAGGGTGTTTTGGCAGATGATAGGGTGGTGGCCGTGAAGAGACTGGGAGATGTGGTTCAAGGAGAAGACGAGTTCTGGGCGGAGATGAGAACCATAGGAAAGATCAATCACATGAATCTTGTGAGAATGTGGGGATTTTGTTCAGAAGGGAGACACCGACTCTTAGTTTATGAATACGTCGACAACATGTCGCTTGACAAACATCTTTTCAACTCAAATTTTCTGGGATGGAAACAAAGATTTGCTGTGGCATTAGGCACAGCCAAAGGTTTAGCCTACCTCCACCATGAATGTCTAGAATGGGTTATCCATTGTGACGTGAAGCCAGAAAATATTCTTCTGGACGGTGAATTTCAACCCAAGATTGCAGATTTTGGGCTAGCAAAGCTGTTTCGGAGAGATAGCCCTGGTTCTGAAATTACAAGAATTCGAGGGACGAAAGGCTATATGGCTCCAGAGTGGGCTCTGAACCAGCCAATCACTGCAAAAGTCGATGTTTATGGATATGGTGTTGTAATACTCGAGATGGTAAAGGGAATTAAACTCTCAAATTGGGTGGTAGATGATGCTGACAATCAAAAAATTCCTCTTAAAAGTTTTGACAGGACAGTGAAGGAAAAATCTGAGGGTGGAAACTCCTCTTGGGTAGAGAGCATAGTGGATTCAAGATTGGAAGGGAATTATAGCAGAAAACAAGCAGCAACACTGATTCAATTAGGCCTTTCTTGTGTAAAGGAAGACCAAAGCAAGCGGCCTACTATGGCTGCTGTGGTCCAAACTCTCATGGAATGTGAAGATGAAACCGATAAAATTCCAGACAGAATGTAATTGCTTAACCTTCCACTTTTATCTGTTATGCATGTTGTTATTTTTAATCGGTAGTGTATGGAGTGGAATTGGGTTTTCATGTACCGTATTTTGTTTTAGACACCGGGTTCACACTTACCATATTTGGCAATTGTTTACCGTATTTGGCAGCTGCTTATCGTATTTGACAATTACTTACCGTATTTGGCAGTGCAACTTACCGTATTTGGCAGGCAGTCACCGTATATGACAGTGATCGTATTTGGTAGAGAATTAAACACAGAATTTCTACAACTATTTGTTTTCATACAATGACTTTAGATAACATAGAATTTGGTGTTTGTTTTCATATAATTTGCACAAACACAATTTCGAAAAAAAAAAATTCAGATAAATTTTTTCTTAATTTTATTTTTCACAAATTAATTAGATACTAACTATTATCTAAATCACTACTTGAAATAAGAATGACAAATTATATTATTTGCAGAAACATAAAAGCAGTTTAAATTTCAGAAAGCTAAATAAAATCTATAAGCATGTAAATCTGCAAATAATTAAAGCACATATACTCAAATTGGAAGCATATATATTTGGAAATAAACTTTTAACCCCGATGTCTGTGTAAACACAATTTCTTTAAGACAAATTCGCCCCCTCACCGTAGTGCTAGAGGTTTAGTTCGAACGCCTGTTTCCCAGGATATAACGGTAACCAGTAAAATTCGAGCACCGCGGTTCTACTCCAGCGAACTGGGTGAGTGTTCGAATAATATCACCTTACTGGAATGACATAGGAGGGGACAGAACAAAAACAGAAAACAAAACTGTACGAAGGCAGACGAAAATTGCAGCATATAAACTGCTGGAAATTGAGTGAAATTATAGAGACTGAATCTGACCATTAGTTTCTGTATTAACCATTACAGTTTTTGGAGTTACACTTCGATTTCGACCGTTGGAGTTTTAGGAGTTTCAGACACTCAAAAGTCATTTGGAAAAATCACAAAAAAAATTGCAAAACGCAGACAATCCAAACTGGCCAGTTTTTGCTCCGTTCAGTCCGACATTTCTGTGTGCCTCGCATCCAAGTTCAAGGTCCGAAGGCTATTTCTGTCCGTGATTTGCACCCCCTGCGCATGCACGTGGAGAGAGCCTCTATGTTACACATGATCATACCATTCCAATGCATAGCCATATATAAAGTGGTTTGATTTCCATGTTTTTCCTATGTGGGACAAAGTTAACTATAATTTTCCCACCAACATAGACCATTTCCAATGGTCGATTTTAAACTCCAATTTCTCATTCACCCGAGCTCCATTTTTAGCAAATAAATACATGACTTCGATGTTCTCGCGGAAGAGAACACATATCAACTTTGATATTTCAAATTGGACCAATGGGTCCCACCAAAAATTGTACCAAAAGTGAGTCGCTCACTCATTTTTTCCAACAATGTAAATATTATTAGAATAATGAATCTGTATTGTTTTAAGCTTTATTATGTTGTGTACATTGACTGAGATTACAAAGCTCTCTGTATGTTGGGTTATAAAGCAACCTACTATGGCTGCTGTGGTCCAAACTCTCATGGAATGTGAAGATGAAACCGATAAAATTCCAGACAGAATGTAATTGCTTAACCTTCCACTTTTCTCTTTTATGTAAATATTATTAGAATAATGAATCTGTATTGTTTTAAGCTTTATTATGCTGTGTACATTGGCTGAGATTACAAAGCTCTCTGTAAGTTGGGTTATAAAATGATAACTAAAAGTACCATCATTCTTGAAAAACATGAAATCTAAAGATAGAGTCTTAACATTTCCAACTTGCTTGTTAAGAATATCAAACAAGGCCTATCAAACCCGTTATATTAGCATATATGCTAATTTTTCTAGGTAGGAATGAACAGCATACATACCCATTATCAAATCAGGGGAAAATCACTTATTTAATAAAATAAGTTGTTATTATTTAAAAAAATAATATCAAAATTCAGTAATTCTGCATCCAATTCTCATTTTACATTCTTCTTTCCGTGGTTGATAGAGGTCTGCGTTTAGCCACGATACCTTTTGTATAATGATATGATGTCTGTATATTATCTATCAAATATAAATTAGTGAAAATTGCAGTAGAGGCCCCAAACCTTTATAACATTAGCAGACTTTCTCCAAACCTTTGTTTTGTTGCAGTCGTCACTCCAAACTTTTAGAAACGTTGTGGCGGAGACCCTTTTGGACGGTTTTCATCAAAAAGTCTATTAGTTGACTAAGAAAATTGACTTTGACCACTTTTTAAATATTTTTGAAAGAGTAAAATGGTCACTTTCCATTTACTATATTAAAATAAGTTAAAATTAAATTACAAAAAAAAAATAAGAATTAAAAATTAAAAAAAAAAGTCTTCTTCCTCCCACCCCACCCACCCCACCCAACCCAAGCTAATTTGGGGGAATCTCCCTCCAATGAAGTCTCTGTATC